TTTTTTTTTTAATATAGGGCAGTTTTTTTTTTAATGGAGGGGGTTTTTTTTTTTAAAGTAAGGGCTTTTTTTTTTTAGCCTTCTTGGCAGGAACACTTTTCAGCCATGCCTGGAATGGGAGGGTTTTCACAAATTGTGTGGGACATGGTGGAGCCCAAAGGAGAGTTGCTGCTTGCTGGATAGAGGAATAATGGATTTTTGGGAAGCTGTGTTTATAATATGCAAAATAGTCCACAGGAAACAATGGGGCCTTGGGACAGAGCTGCCAGTGAATGAGAGCTTTGTTTTCCTCTTGTCTATTCATATTTCTAAACTTTTAGTGGCATTTTAAACACATTTTACACATTTTTTGTGTAGTGGCTTGAATTGCCTAAACTGCTGCCTAAAGTACTGTTGCACTGCAATCTTTATCCCTTTTTGGATAAAAATTGGCTTTCAGCTTAAGCTCCTTTTTGTATTTTTCTTAATTGCAGCTCTTGTTTAACAATCCTTGGCTGCTTTGTTTTTATGTTTTAAAACTTTAGAAAATTTTATAGCAAAACTAGTTGACAGCAGACCTTGTGTACCAAGCATGTCATGCTGCCCACAGCTTGACTTGAAAATGGTATTGCAGTCCTTTGCCAGAACAGTGACACAAATGAACATCAGTTGCAAGCTAATTGCATGGAGTTTAGATGCTGCTGATGGGATTGGTCTGCCATGGATATGCATTAAAACACCATCATGTAGATTGTGTTTTCATTGAGAAGCATCCCATACCTGCAGTCCCTAACAACTGGTCTGAAATAATCAAAAAGATGTTATGGTTGTATTGCTGTTAAATGCAGACACTGCACATAAGATTATGCAGCATTAAAATGAGAATATTACTGCCTGAATTGGAGTGTGTTTTGGCTGCATGTTAAATTAAGACAGATGGTTTGATTCATTATGGTTCATGTCTCACCTTTACAAACAAAACAGCACCACTGCAGTTTTGCAGTTTCAGAAATGTTGTTTGTGCATGCATTTACGATTAGCAAAAGCTTTGAAAATCCTTGTGCAAGAAATGCTGAAGCTGCTGTTGCAGTAGAGGGAGAGGGAGTTGTTTGTATTTGCTGTGTATGTTATTTCATGGAGCTATCTCTTTGCCTCACCAGTAAAACTCCTTCCCTGTGCGAGGGAAATTCCTGGTTCATTGGTATGGATGCATTGTTTTTACACATTAGAAGTGCTGTGTTGCCGTGCCAATCATCCTGTTAGGATCAGTTTAAGAGCAGTAGGGCTGACGAAGCTGGGTGTGATTGGCTGCCATATGCTGGGAGGGCTCTGTGAGAAGGAAGGGCTGCAGTCTTTCAGCAACGGAGTTTAGGCTGTGTCTGCTTCATCATCTGAGAAAAATCCCCAGAAAAGTCACAAGGCTTTCTGAGAAAAAAAAAAAAAAATCCAAAACATTACCGGCTGCTCATCGTTTCATGTGAGAATTAGTTACCATGATGCGATGGGGAAGATGTGGCTGTTTGTTTATATCAGATGTTCCTGTTCACGTTGGGAAGGTGTCGAATAGACAGGGCTAAACAAGGTAGGAGGATCGTTGTCTTTTATCGAATGTTTCAAGAGTTTGCTGCAGTATACTGCATACTGTATGTGTTGCTTGGGGGAGTCGGGGAAACACTGTTTCTCCCGTGATTGGATTCTATTTGGGTGGAATAGGTGGATTTTATGGTAACTTGTTTTCAAAGGGTATTGATTTCCAGTGTAAATAGCTCTCTTCAGAAATAGAACATGAGTATACACATATTAAAATAAGCAAAAAAAGAAATAGGTCAGTGTGCTTCAGAAGTGCTGCTACCTTAATTGGATTTTTAGCTGGGCTGTTGTCTGGAAGTGCAGCCTAGCTTTAAGAAGGAGAAGGAGTCAACCTGGAAATCTGTGAAGTTTATAGCAGCTATATTTGAAGATTTAGGTGAATTAGACTGGCTGATCTAAATAATTCCCTATCGGAAGTTTTAACTAAAGCCAAGACTGCCTGTTTTAGATTTGTAGAGGTATACAACAAGATTACAGTATTTTACCCTGTTATGAAAGTATGGGGTTTTTTTTGACTGTGCTGTGATTCCTTTGCTCTTCAATGAAAGCCAGGGGAATTTTTCATATTGTAGTTTGGCTTATTGTAGTTTCTTGTAGAAAATTGCCCTTTCCAGGTCTTTGTCTAGGCAGCAAAACAGAACCTGTACATGAAAGCAAGGTTAATAATATGTGCTGCAATTATCTGATCTTTATACATTTTTAATGAGAGAACACACAGCTAGCAGAATAATTTAATGAGCAGGCTGGCTTTTAGAGCAATGATTTCACTGTGCTAAGGCACATCAACTTTCTTCTAGAGGAGGAGCCTCAGTAAAAAATGGAGAAGATTTATGTTAAATGCTTTAGAGAGAGCAGAAATCTGTAAAATTCTGGAAGAACAGAGTAGTTTTTAGTTGTTATTATTATTTATTAGATAGGAAGCAAACTTTACCATCATGTTGCAGGAGGACTCTGAGAACATTTCCTCATCCTGTTATATGCTGAAGCCTTTTCAAGTTTCTCACACTGCCATATGCATTGATGGTGCTCAGTACCTTTCAGGATGTCACCCAGTTAGTGACCTAAATTAGCATGCTGACTTCAGTTGTGTTATAGCAGCATCATTTATATGTACAGTATATCATATAGTTGGGTTTTAATTTTTTTTTCCCCTAAGATTACCCAGTAGTGAGACAAGAAAATGTTGTGGGCTTATTTATTTTGTAATAGCCGTGTACATTGCATACTTGTGCTCAGCTAGAATGTTGATAGAAAAAATAAGTGTATGTACTGAGGAAGACTAAAGATCAATTTCTTAAAGAGAAATTGAGTAGAAGGACCTTTTGCTGCCTAAAAAGAACTTTCAGCGATGTAATTTTGGGGAGAAAGTTTCAAGATTTCCTTTATCCTAGGAATGAGTTACATGAGTTTTAACAGTGTTGTGACAAGTAGGCCCTTCTAGACCAACCGTCCATGGAACAACTGTGCATTGTCCCTCCCATTTTTTGGGAAGTACAGGACATGTACTCAGAACTCCTGATGTCACCTCCCAACTCCTCACTGCTGACTCTGCTCAGGGGTGGTTGACACAACTTCCCTGCTCCCTGGCCAAGTACTTGCTGGGGACCTGGGGCTAGCAAGTACTTGGGGCCCTGTGGCTGGGTTGTTTACACACACTCAGTTTATGAACCAGTTATTTTTGGATGCTAGTCTTCTAAGTCAAAGCAACCTTCTGTCTTCTGAGGATTTCAGGATCTTCTTACAAATGAAACACGTGTCAGGATGGAGAACATTATTATTACAAATCCATAGGGTATGGATATATATGTTTAACTCTCTATCTCTATTGATACTTAAATGTGTTGTTCGTATGCAAACTGTGTTAAGCTGATAATTAGAGGCAAGTAAAATAATCTTTTTCAAGCTATAAAATATGAGTCAAATATTTAGTTTTTGCAAATAAAACTGTTTTCGTGCACAGCTTTAAGAGAAAACTTTTCGGTCTCCTGTTTTGAGACAATCTCTTACTTTCAGATAATTTCAGTGTCTGGTTTCTCTACCTTGTAGATCACAATATCTAGAGTTATCTTGTTATGCCTGACTACCAAAGTGAAAATTTGCAATCATCACTTAGTCAAGTAGTTTGTATCAAACTACTGACAGATAATCACATGACAAAAGGATTTAAAAAATTATTTCCTGATCAAGGTGTGTATACATACTACTGCTTTATATGGTTAGGTAAATGAACCTTCAGCTTAGAGATTAGAGGTGGTACTAAATATTCTGCTTTTACATTTATTTGGTATTAAAAGTATTTCAGCTCAGATTCCAGCGTGTATTTAATTTAGTAGTATCTTTTCTGCTTAATTGCTCTGTGTATTTCATCAGAGTTATTAGTGTGATAACCTTCCAATGTGTAGTCTGTCTGTTTTCAAGGAATAATTACTTTGTTTAGAATTACTCTATTTTCCTAAGATAAAATTTCCCAATGAGTTAGAGGTTCTGAAGTGTAGTGCTTGACAATAGAGTATTTATTAAGGCAAATCAATTTCTTAATTTGTAAGTGTGCATTTTACAGAAATGTGAGATAGTTATGTGCTACCATTTTTATTTTTTTTTTCTGAGCAAGAGAAATGGCTCTTAATATTGCATGGGATTTCCAGCACTCAGGTATCACATCAACTGTGAATGAATTTTCTTCTCTGTTCCTCAGAAATATGTCAGAAATAATCTGCACTGTGTTTACTCATAAAAGCTCTGTAAAAAGTTGAGTTTTTATAATCCTGAGAGGTGAGAAATAGTGTTCAATTGAAATTACTTATTAATTATTTTGCATACAGTTTTAACACATTGCTAATATTCAAATTTCACATTATAGCTATTAGTGAAACTGTGCTTCCTATTGTTACTAGAAATTTCTGACTTTGAGAATTTTTTTTTCTCTTCCAGGGAAGAAACACTTTTTTTAAAGTCAAATTATTTTTTCCCTTTTTTTATGAATGTGATTGTTGCAAAATTTTAGCTAAAGATAACTAAATCACTTTTAAAATTTTATTAGTATATATGGTCTTTTTAAAACCTTTGATTGTGAAGCTGATTTGATGTGTTTAGTACAATGTATTATGGTTAACTAATGTGCACCAGTGCTATGTAACTAGTGTGTAAACAGGCTGAAATTATAGCCTGAGGAAAATAAAACTCATTTTAAGAGTATGTCAGTGCTGAAAACTAGTTCAAATAATAGTCGTATTAACTGTTTGACTAATTAAACTAATCTCCTTATACATTATTAGCAAATGCAGTGACAGTTGTTGGTTATTGATATATACAGTCTTCTTTTTAAAAAGTCATCTTTTTAAAAAGTCTTCTTTTAAAACCAAACTTTTGGGCTCTTTTTGGAGTAGAGGGTGCATGAGAAGAAAGAAGTTATGTATCCCCTTTCTAGAACCTGCCAACTTCTTAATCGCCACAATTTTTTATTATTCTTTTGTAACCGGGCCGTTAAAACACTGAGCTCTCTCTCTGATAATGCTGGCGATGTCAAGTTCTTAGTGCAGTATTTCAGGCACGCTAAAAAAGGAAAAGTCTGGGGCTGTGAAGATGAAGAGCATACCTAACAGGGGATTATATGCAAAATCCTTATAACTAACACAAAGAAATACTAATTATGTAGGGGACTCTTTGTGCTACTGATGATTACTAAAGCTGTTGAGAACTGCCAGTGTGCAGTTTGCTGCTTCTGCAGAACACTTGTAGGATTCCTGGAGTCGTAAGTCTGGTGAAAGACCTGGTGGGCTTGTGATACTTTAAGCTTTGCCAGCTAGAAGATCTCAGCTGTAAATAAATTGATAAGCACAGAGGTTTGCACTCTTTTTATTATTTATTTTCTTTTTTTCCTTTTTTTTTCTCCCTTCTTTTTCATGCCTAGATATATTTCCACAAGTACTTACGCACATACATTATATATACACACTCATAAAAATATAATTTTTCATCTTCATTATTTTTGTACTGCAAAAACAATAACTGATAAAGACAGTGGGAGGGAATAAGTGATACAGTTATTGTATAAATAAGTCGATCAAGGAATAGGAAGAGATGATTCATATCAGAGTCTATTAATTTTTTCTATTTTAGCTCAATAATTTTTTTCATCAGTTTGAGTGGATGATAAACATTTTGGGAAGCGTTTTGGGAAGATCTTGGTATCATACATTGCTGAACTCATAAATAGAGACAAGGTCAGTCTGGATGTTGATGAGCTTTAAAATCTTCTCTCCTGTAGGGAATACTGCACCTCTGACGGTAGGCAGAAATAGAGAGTACCAGTAAGGAAAAATGCAGGAAGGTTTCCCTGTGGTTGTTTTATGGAAGAGAAAGCTAGGATTTGATTAGAAATGCCTTTTTCTTTTTATTTTTTTCATGGTAATTCTGAAGGTAGCTTTTCTGAAGGTATGGTTTTTTCTGTATGATCGCTTTCAAGTGGCCTGGCAAATAATTTTTTGATTTTTTTAACCCTCTAGTGTTCACTCCTGTCTAGACCGAATACTTTTTAACTTGAGTTTCTGAGGAATTTTGTCTTGCTGTTTTGGGATTTTTTTCCCCCTACTGCTTTGTTATATATACTTCAGGTATGTTAAATGGCTCAGTCCCCTAGCCCCTAGTTTTCTGAATCTGTCATGATTTATGTACTTTATAGGTGTCATAGGCAGTGTTTTGAACTTAGTCTAAAACTAACCTACAATTTCCAAGTGACAAGTTTTCCATTTTTTTCCGTTGTTAGAAGGATGGTGTTTCAATGCTGGGTTTCAGCATGTCAGGTTTGTGCCTTCACTGTCTGCTTTAGCAGCTCTCTGTGGTACACTCCTGCTAATGTCAAGGTGGGTAAAGTGGCTGCCTTGTAGGACTGGCAAAGCCCTATTTTAGTCCATTTAAATATTTTTCAGGTATTTCCTTCTACTTTTCAGACTATCTGCAGTGCTGTTATCAGCAGCTTGTATGGATATTTGA